AATAACTGTTACATATAATATATACATAATATTATATTATATACAATATTATATAAAATTCTTGGATGGCATAATCGTAAATTCTTGGATAAAGAAATTTTATAATGATAAATTGAACAAAAAGTAACGCCGTCAGGGGGATTTGTAACGGCGTTAACATAGCAGGGAGAGTGTGCATACAAAAGTATATTACAAGGGGGTATGACGCAATTTTTAAAATACAGGGGGAAAACGCGCAGATGTAGTATATTACATGGGGGTTTGGTGCAATTTACCCTGATGAAAATTATTAGTTCCATGACGAAAATTACAAATTTCAAGGATAATTGTTATCATGAATGATTATGCTTTTTTTTGGTAGTATTTGTCTTTTCTCTTAAACATAGTTTTGAGATCCGGACAGGCTCGGCGGATCAACTCGGGACCCGGTCAACCCAGAGCCAGAACCGGTCTGGGTGGGCTAATTGGACCGGACAACAAAGGACCCGGTCAAATTCGGTCAAAATCCGGCCAACCCGGGCTTGACCCAGTCGACCCGGCTGGGTCAACCCGGTTGACCCGACCACAATATATTTTTTTTTATTATTTTTTTATATTTAAAAATATTTGTTGTTTTTAAAAAATAAAACTATGTATATATAATTATATTTATCATTAAATATATATTATTAACACTTTAGCTTACAAGTTTTATATACAAAACATTTAATTTTGTTATTTTTATGTATATTTATAGGACAAAATACTCTGTATATAATTTTAAAAATTTTAAACTTAATTATCCGGTTCAACAATTGACCCGGTGACCCGACGGTTGAACCGGTGACAAGGACGGAGCCAAAGAAGGCCCCCTCGTTTTTTGTTAAGTGTATATATATATATATATATATATATATATATATATAAAGAAAATCTGTAAAATATGTATAGAAAAATACAAAAATTATATACAATATGAGTAGTAATTAAAACTTAATTTCTATGCTATTTTAATTTAAATTAATAATATTATTTTACATTAAAAATGTACTAACAATAGTTATATTTTACGTTTCTAGATAAGCTTTCAAAAATATTTATAATGATTTACACTTTTCGTCTCCTAATTGTAAATCAATTTAGTGATTTATAAAATCGAGTATTTAGTTCGATTGTTACATTTATGAATGTTTATTTTTCACTATTTTTTGTGTAATCACATATCTTTAACTATATTTTCTTTTAAATATTATAAGCTCTCTCAACAAAAATGTTATGCAATGTGATGCAAAAATAAAATTTAAATTAATTTTTCAACCAAAAAAATTTATTTTTCCATAAATTATAGATGTTGCACTTAAATTATAAATACATGATTTTTTTAAACGTTTAAGGGTGATACGGATTCTAAGTATTTAAAAATACAATGGTATATTATATTTATAGTAAATACATTAGTATATGAAATGAGCGTTTCAATCTAAACTACATTATTTAATATTTAAAATCGGGCCCCTAATTTCTAGATCCGTCACTGACTGGTGACCCGGTGACCTGGAGACTTGCGCTGGTCGACCCCGGGGAGTTTAAAACTATGCTTTTAAATATTAATAATAAATGTGGTGAAGAATGCGAATTTCAAGGATAATTTCTAATATGTCATGATTATAGATTTATTTAACATATCTCATTTTTCTTAATATTAGTAAAGGAACAAATTTTGTGGTGAATTACGAATTCAAGGATAATTTCTAACAATATCATGATTATTTTATTTAGCAATTAGCATACTTCCTTTTTGTTAAATATCAGTGAAAAGGAACAAAAAAAAAAAAATGTGGTGAATTGGTAAAATAACGATTTTAATAACAATAGAAACAACAACTTTGAAGAAAATTCATCAACTTAGTTTACATTTAAATTAGATAGCAGAATTTAATTCTCGAAATTTATCTACTAATTATCTAATATTTAAAAAATTAATTTTTCGATCAAAGTTTACTTGTCACAGCTCACACATATTCCTTAAAATATATTACATCTCTGGAATTACATGCGATCATCAATTTACCGCCACAATTAAGTAAAAATGGGAAATGATATGGTCTGTATGGAGCCATATATCGCGTTGGATGTTTTAACTGTTAGATTATATATCTTATACTAATCACATGTGTATTCAACGGTTAAAACTCTTGGCGGGATGGTTTTGTAACGGAATCGTAGCATTTTTCAGTAAAAATTTGGGTAAATTGTACTTTTCATAAACTTAATTTTATAATTTATTATTAAATTATTCTGGGCCAGCTAAATAATCCAAATTATTCCTAATTAAAATGTTTAGAAAAGGCATGCGTAGAATCACATTTGTTGACTTGTTGTAAAGTTGAAATGTTAAAATTCTTGAGGGAGAGCTTTGCCGTCCTTGTGGTCCTACCCGGCTCGATTCTAGATTAGTCGTTTTCCATGTGGATCCGAAAACCGGAAGGTCCCTGTACAAAAAAAAAA